TTGAAGAATCGCTGTGTTGTCTGATATGTTCGCCCACAACTTAACAGCCACCCCTTCATCTTCTGTGACCCAAAGGCCATGTCTGCGCACAATGGAGCTACCCTTTGGCAGTCACTCAAAAGCAGCCACCTGTCAAAGAAGCAGCCTGTTTAAAACCAGATCACGTTGCATCAGGTTTGTTACCAATACTGCCAAAAAACATCTCAGTCCATTTCCCATTAGCATTTCCCATTTAAGGAACCAGGCAGAGGGCACAGTGGTGCCCACCCTGTAGAATGCCCTCCCATCAGATGTCAAGGAAATAAACAACTATCAGACTTTTAGAAAACATCTGAAGGCAGCCCTGTTTAGGGAAGTTTTTAATATTTGATGAATCATTGTATTTTAGTATTCTGCTAGAAGCCGCCCAAGGTGGCTGGGGAAACCTGCCAGATGGGTGGGGTACAAATAATAAATATACTACTATTATTATAGCATTCCTTGGTGCTGTGTTAATAATTTTTTGTCTCTTTTTCACACTAGCCAATTTAAGTTTGTCTTCTGCACAACTTTATTAATTTCACCCCACTTAAAGGATCTGCCAGACCCATCGCTTTAATCTCAAGAAGCCAAACTCAAATGTCATATTATTACATAGCTTAATGTAATAAAAAGTCTAATTAGGAGTATACTTTCATTTTATCCTTGCCAACATTAAAGTGTTGATAAAAAGATTAAAACCACCCTTAAATACTTTTTAATGAAATCACATTTAACATGACATTTAGAGAGTGCCTTTAACACACACATTAAAGGTTCTACTTTTGCTTGTTCTTTCAAAGCCAATCTTAACATGAATTGTAATGTCAGCTTTATTGGTGCATTCTAAGTCTTAAACACAATTGCCTGAAAGCAATCTCTATTAATCACAGCCGAAAGCTGCAATCCAATGCACAATTCCATGGGAGCAAGTCCCCTTGAATCACTGCTAGACTGATTGCATTTGGAGTCCAGTGTGGCTATTTATTTTTTTTAAAAAACACAAATGTCAAGAGATCCAATCATGGCTCTCCCAAGCAACATGTAGTTTGGTCCCAGGTTTAAACCTATTGTCTGCCGACAGGGATGTTGTATAGGGATTGTCCAGCATCTTGAGCCCCAATATCTTTTCTGCCAGGCTCTAGATCTTCTGCCCCTGCCATGATTAAAATGCATCTTGTAGCGATAAACATGGTTTCGGTAAGTTGGCAGCCCTAATAAGCAGAAGCACTAGGGCTAACTTGTGTGTTTGGCAACCTAGGAGACTACTGTTTGTTCGAGACATTTATGCATATGGTATATTCATGTGCAAGCTTTTAAAACTTGTATCAAACTTGTTTATTCTACTCTATCCTTTTAAAAGTTAAGTACAGTTGTGTTTAACCCAGTTGGATTGAAAACATAAGTTGTGAGCTTTGATTAAGAAATAGTTCGAGCTGTAGTGACCGCATAGCTAGGGTTGCCATATGTCCTCTTTTTCCAGGACACACCCACTTTTTCAGGTCTGGTTGTAATATGGTCCTCCTTCCCCCCAGAAACATCCTCTTTTTCAGGACTGAAATTTCTGCCCAGGCAGATTTTTTAAATTTGGCAAAATGTCTGGAGGGTTTTGTGGTTTACAGTAATCCAAGAAAAATTGTCTAGTGCATTAGACTCAAATCTAAGGCACCTGGCTAAGCTAGTCTGCAGCATAGAATAAAAACAGAGCAGCATCTTAAACTAGCTACATACTGTATAAATTCCTTCTATTGGATCAAAGGATGCTGGCTAAGCTACAAGATCTCGGAGAAGTCTGGGAGTTCTGGGAGGGCAAGAACTAACATGCCCCTGCCTTTAAGGCAAGTCCATATGTACCTGTTACGTTAAACAGTTTAATAAATTGTTCTGTGCACACTTATGTTCACAAAGATGTGAACATGAGCCCAAGTACTTTCATGTGGCAAGTGAGGGAGCAATCTGTATTATTATTATTATGTTGAAAGTTAAGAACATTGCTACTAGCAATATATCACAGCTTCTATAACCTCAGGTTGTGATCTGGGTATCTATCCTGGTATCTTTGCATTCCCTTTGGCAAATAAAAATTCCCACATGTATGAGGCCCGATCAACTTGGCACACGCAGAAAAACAGTTTTAAAACAATTTGCAGCTGGCACTACATACTTGTGAAATCAAAGAATCATATAATTGTAGCGTTGGAAGGGACGTCCATGGAAGCTGGTCCTCCAGCTTCCAACGTAGTGAATTCTCTTACCATCAGAAAGTCTGTCCTAATGTTTAGTCAGAATCTCCTTTCTTATAATTTGAATCCATTGGTTCAGGTTTTGCCCTCTGGAGCAGAAGAAGACAAGCTGGCTCTATCTTCCATGTGATGGTCCTTCAGCCCTTGAAGATAGCTATCATACCACCTCTCAGTCTTGTCTTATCTAGGCGAAACATGCCCAGCTCCTCTTCATAAGGCTTGGTTTCCCAACCTTTTACCACATTATTTGCCTTTCTCCTCACATTTTCCAGCTTGTCAAATATCCTTCTTAAATTGTGGCACCCAGCACTGGACACAGTATTCCAGATATGATCTGACCATATTGTTGACTCATTTTAAGCTTGTGATTTACTAAGATCCCTCAAACCCTTTCACATGTACTGCTTTCATGCCAGGTGTCCCCATCTTATATTTGTGCATCTTATTATTCCTACTTAAGTTTAGAACCTTACATTTGTCCGGATCAAAATTCACTTTGTTAGTTTTGGTCCAGTTCTCCAAACTGTTAAAATAATCTTGCATCCTGATTCTATCTTCTGAGGTATTAGCTATCCTTCCCAGTTTGCCATCAGCTGCAAATTTGATGTGCAGCCCCTCAATTCCTTCATCCAAGTCACTTATAAAGATGTTGAACAACACTAGGCACAGGGCATAACCCTGTGGCACCCCATTTGTCACTTTTTTCCAGGATGATAAGGAACCATTGGTGAGCAGTCTTGGGTTCAGTCAGTCAACCAGCTACAAATTCATCTAATAGTAACATCATCTAGCCCACATTTTGCCAGCTTCTCCCAAGAATATAATGGGAGACTTTGTCAAAAGCCTGATTGAAACCAAGATACACTACATCCACAGCATACCCCTGATCCACTAAGCTTGTAATTCTATCAAATAAAGAAATGAGATTAGTCTGGCATGATTTGTTATTGAGAAACCTATGCTGGCTCTTAGTATCCTTTTCTAAGTACTCACAGACAGATGGTTTAATTGTCTGTTATAGGACTGTTTGTCATAGTGATGATGTAAAGCCAACCAGTCTAGTTTCCTGGATCTTCCTCTGCCATACTTTCTGAATATGTGGAAACATTTGCTCACCTCCATTCCACAGGGACTTCACCTGTTCTCTAATAATTCTCAAAGATTATAGACAGAGGCTCTGAGATTACACCTGCAAGTTCTTTTAGTATCCTTGGAGACTGTTCATCAGGCCCTGGAGATTTGAATTAATTGAAACAACCTCTTTTCTTATCTTGAGCTGCAGCTTCCTCTCTGATTTATTTATGCCCTAGATTAAGCTCTCATCCAAGTTTTTAAATTGGAGAGGATGCCAACAGTTAGGTTCATAATTCCATGTGGTGGGAATGAAAATCTATACCATTATTTTAGAAAATTGTCTTTGAAGAATGTTCTTCTATTACAGGACAGGTGATACAGCCTGATCTGAGGTTAGCTTTATTAAATCTGTTTATAGATTACCATAAGAATTTACTGCTTAAGAGCCGAATCTTTCTCATGTCTGCAAGTTAGAAATATATTACTACAACACTGTAAAACAGCTTATAACTTAACTCCAGAAGTATGGTGGGATGGATTACGGAATACAGCCCTTATGGAGAAACTAATGAAGCACCTTAGAGCACTCAGAAACACAAAGTCCAAAGACAATTTTGAAACTGCTTGGTACATGTTTATTCAGTACACTGGAAAGGACAGTGTTGTTCCCTCACCACCAGTTACCCACAACTCACTCTGGGACAATCTGTTAAGATGGGCAGTAAAGACACCTAACTGATGTAATCAGCTCTAAACTATTTAAAAGCCTGTTAAATATTTGACTGTATTATTGACATTGTATATGCACAGAACGTTTATTGTGGGTGGGGATATACAAGGGTTGTTTGTTATATACATTTTCAGAAACTGAAAAATTAAATTACAAAGATGATTTGGGGTGGCGGGAGAGGGGAACAAGGCTGCTGTTTAAAGTTCACTAACCAGTTCCATTCCCGGAATTGCTCATGACACCCCATCTGTTTTATTTTACTTTGCTTACAGGGTGGTTTGGCGTGCTACAAAATGCAGTGGCAAAGAGAAAGCAGGCACTTGCCATCATAAATTTTCCCAGAAGCACTCTTGCACATTGACACAGATTTATGTCACAGAATGTGTCCCAGTCCATTAAATACTTTGCACTGCCCTATCTAGCAAACCTGTCACAGCCCTCCCAATAAACTCTGTCCATTTGTCCATGCTTATAACAAACATCTTTACATTCATTAGTATATATATTTGTGAAGTAGAATAAGACAAGCAGATATATGCAGTTGTGAAGGGTGAAAAATTAAAGGTTGTGGGGAATTATGTGTGTCAATTATCATCAATAAAAGATTGACAACAAAAACCCACACACTCTGGTGTCAGAGTGAAGCTGCGACGCAAGTGATTTTCATTCCAACTCCTGCCTGATCAGACAGCCGGGACATCCTGTGCATGTTTGCTCAGACAGAAGTAAGCCAGACAGAGTCTTCCAGCGCAAGCCTATGCCTGCCTACTCAAGTCCCACTGAGTTTCAGGGGACTTGGTCAAAGGTAGTGTGTATCAGGGAGCAAGCTTCACTGAATACGATGGCACTTAGGACTGAATAAAATCACAGAACTGTAGAGTTCTGTGGGGCCACGGGGGTCATCTAATCCAACCCCCTGCCACGCAAGAATCTTTTGCCCAACATGGGGCTTGAACCCACGACTCTGAGATTAAGAGTCTCGTGCTCTACCGGCTGAGCTACCAAGGGGGAATGCCCTGCCCTGCTCTGCCCCCGCAATAAGCGATTTACGATCCACCTCGCTTGCAAGCGGTCGAAATCCTAACGTTTACATTTGCACCATGGGTGAGATGGGACCACGGCTGCAATCCTGGCCCCACTTACCTGGGAATAAGAAAGTTCCTTTGCTTCTGAGCAGGCACGGCTAGACCTGCGCTGTCATACCTCAGCCGTACTTACCGGGCAAAGCAAGCGCCCAGCGACGGGGACTTGGGACGGCTCGATGCCGGGCGCCCTCGCGACTGAACTAGACGGAAGCCGAAGGGGCGCGCTCGGCGTCGCGAGAGCCAATCAGAGCCCCGGGAAGCCGAGAGCCGCGTTGGACCAGAGAGGCGCCTGGCGGCAGCGCGGGCAACGGGGGGAAAGCGCCGCTGTGCCCTGGGCTCTCCGGCCGCCCCTCGCCCCCTGAGTTACCTGTGGAAGTAGTGGCCGCAGAACATGCCGCCCAGGAGCCGGCAGCCCAGGGGCGCGAAGCGGGGCGGGCTGCGCAGCGCCAGCAGGAGCGCGGGCACCAGGAAGGCGGGCAGCTCCTGCAGGAACCAGGCGCAGCGAGCGGAGAGGTGGGCGCGGCGGCGCCTCGGCGGAGGCTTCTTCTCGCCCTGGTCCGGGGGCGCCGGCGGCGGCTCCTCTTCCTCCTCCTCGTGCTTGCCGTAGCGGGAGGGCGTGTGGCTATAGAGCCACAGGTGCAGCAGCCCCAAGGACAGCAGCACGGAGCTGAGGGACCGCACCAGGCTCGGCGAGCATTGCATGCTGCTCGCGAGGGGGCGCTCGGCGCTGGCGGCCGCGGCAGGGCAGCCCCGCCATTAATAGGGCCGCCCGGGCGCCCGCCTCCCCCTTCGCGAGGAGGGGGTGGGGTGGGGTGGGGGCTGGCTTGCTCGCAGCTGAGGCGGGAGCCAGAGGAGGGGCGGGCGAGCGAGCGAGCGAGCGAGCAAGGGATGGCCAGAGCGCTTCCTCGAGGGGTGCTTTCTCCGTCCCCGAGAATAGACTTCTCGCTCTGCTCAGCCCCCTCGGAGAACCAGGAGCCATCTCTCGAGCAGAGAGAAAAAGATCGAAGGGTCCGAGCCACCAAAGCCGCGCAGGACGAGTTTGCTCCACGCGCCTCTGTCCGATCCCAGAAGTGCCTCCCTCGTGTGGCCCCTCGCGCTTGTCTTCGTGGGGCCACGAGGTTGCTTGTTGTTGCCGTGCTCTCCGTAACAGACAGACGGGGCTGCCTTTCTGGGATCTTGTCAGCCCGGTGCTAAACCTGTGCTGCTGTTGTTGTTGTTTAAAGAGCGGTGGGCAAGGGCTGGCCTGCAGCATAAGAGCCAACTCCTAGGGGCAGAGGTCCCTTGCACCCCCCAATAAAATATTTGAGGGGACACCCCCCCAAAGTTGATGGGCATTGCTATTCAAATAGTGTAGATGTGCCCCACCAAAAGGCAAAATGGTTCCCCATTTCCATTCCATGACCAAACTGGCAGCTGAATCTAACCTCCAAGCAGGGGTGAAACTAGGCTTTCTTTCACCCAGGTCAAAGAACCAGTTTGGCGCACACACACACTGGGAGCCTCAATGGCGCACCCCTGGAGGCTTCACCTGGGACAAAAAAAAACACCTAGCTAGCTGCCCCCCCCCTTTATAGCTCTGCCTCCAGGGGACACTGTCCTATACCTGAATCTGAAGGCAGCTGGCTAGCTTAGGGTACCCAGGGCCCATTTCACACATACACCTTTGTACCTCAACACATCACTGCCGCTTCTCTCCACCCTCGCATTAGACTCTGCCTACTCTTGGGGACAGCCTTGGGGATGGGGAACCAGTGGCCCAACCAGCTAGGTGTTGCTTGACTTTGGCTCTCATCAGCCTAGTCTGCATGTCCAGTGGTCAGAGGTGTTGGGGACTGTAGTCTAACAACATCTGGATGCTCATAATTTCCTCAGCCCTGGCTGTTGTTTTCAGCCTTTCTAGGTTATTTAGGAGTGTAATAACACGCTGGACTTTGCGGCCTTATTGTTATTGAGGCACAAACCTTCATCCAGTACACCCTCCTTGCCTTCTGGAACCCTCTTATTGGGCAGGTCCTAGCAGCAAGATCAGATGAGAGGATACTGCAACGCCAAATAATGAAATGAAAGGCCCTGAGAGTTCAGCTCCGTCAATCCCACCAGAAAAAAAATCCCACAGAGAAATGTCACTAGCAAAGCTGGCCCAATACACGCATGCTCCTTTGCCTATTCCACATACAGAATCCAATCAGAGTGGCTCTTGAATCTTATTTCAGCACTGTCAACCAGACAGCATCCTTCATACCTGAGGGCATCAGGCTAGCTTAAGGGTGTAATGTGCTCTGTTTTCCCACCTGATCTGATAGGGTAGAAGGAGTGGGTAGAGTAGAACACTGCAGCTCCCTTCCCCTTCATCAGTACAGAGCTGAGTTGCCTCTTACAAGCAAGTGTCTGGTCTCCTAATTAAACACCCTCTCTCCCCCTGCTGCTTCCCTGTTCAAAACTGCTCCTTCCCATACCTGATCTTCTCAAATAGGGGAAAAAACACTATCAGGGTCTGTTATGTGTATTTGTGTATAATGTGTAGTTCCAACAGCTTATACAGTGGTATCTTGGTTTAAGAACAGCTTAGTTTATGAACAACTTGGATTAAGAACGCTGCAAACCCGGAAGTAGGTGTTTTGGTTTGTGAACTTTGCCTTGGAAGCAAAACATGTTCCGCTTCCTGTTAAGTGTGTTCCATTTGTAAATTGAGTCCCCCGCTGCTATGGGAAAGCACGCCTTGGTTTAAGAATGCTTTGGTTTTAGAATGGACTTCCAGAATGGATTAAGTTTGTAAACCAAGGTACCACTGTACAAATAAATGTCAGCCAGGAATTCTTTGGATTCATATCCATGCACCATCCATTAGCTTAGGCCTCACAAAACATTTGGGGCCAGTGGGTTATGTGGGTACATTTTGAATTTTGAGAGTGTGCTGTAGGCACCAGTCACAAAATGGCTGCCATGGGAGCTTGATGTAAAGCAAAACTAGAGTACAGTCATGTTGACCTATTTGTAATTCCATAATCGAATAAAGACTCCTGTTCTAAAAGGGAAGGTTAAATGATGGGGGGGATACCAGAAATGCATGTGTAAGCAGTTTTATTGGTGGTGGTTAAGAAATATTTTAGGGGCAGGCTCCTGTGAAAGGACCTTGAGAAAACTTGTAAGGAACTGCAGAGGATACATACACAGAAGAGCAGAGTCTGCAGATTTGCTGCTCTGCGTGTGACAATGACCTTAAGAGCCATTAGTTTCCATTTCTCTTTGCACGCTGAGCACCAGCAGTAGAACCACAATATAATTGACTCTTTATGTGGAGGAAGTTATGCCATTCATGATCAGTGATGGTGGCTCTAAAATCGGGCGGGAGGGATCCACTTTCCAAGCAACAATGTATTACAGCTTGATTTGTGATATTCCTGAACCAAAAGCAGTTCCCTCATGGAAGACATTTGAAAGCTACAACTAATGAACAACTGCAGTGCCTGATCTTGTAAACAGATGGTGTCAAAAGGTACTAGAATTTTGTGGTCTTGGTGGTCATGATACTCTGTTAATCCCAGTTAGTCAACAGATTACATGCATGGAATGTATATTTAACATGACGAAAATGTTTGCTTTTATAATCCATCTTTACAGGTGAAATTAAGGTTTAGAGGCAATCAAGAAAACAAATCCTCTGCAATTTGGATTTTGAAACTTCAGCATCAAAAATTAACACACAATTTGACTGGTTTGTTTCCCTTCCACCATCTTTTAAAGAAGAAGGATGCCAAGTGTCAAATCCAAAGATGTGCTTGCAAAACTTGTAAAGGCGTATTCCACCTCCCTGGAAACTGTTGTGGGTCAAATTCATTTCAGCATTACCAATTTCCTTGTGTCCATTTGAGAGCCTGCTATTTCTTATTTCTGCCTAGTGGAGCACAACCCATAGGTCTGCATAGCCCTTCGCCAAGAGAAGGAAGTTTTTTCAATAACAATACAGACATATTTTGGTGTATCTTGACAGTGTTACCATAAGAGAACAGACTCTGCCTCCACAGCTGTGGCCAAATCCATTACCTAGCCACATAATGTGGTCTTTCAATGGACAGCAGATGCAGTCCACCACATTCTTTTTCATTAATCTAAAAGTTATATTAATCTCTAACTAGGCTCACTGCACAGATTGTCAAAAGAGAAGCTGTGAATTGTAGCAATAGTGAAGAATGTGATTTGGGAAACATTAACATAACTACTGAATATTGTAAGAGTCACACAGAAAAGGGTCAAGTGGGGACAGAGTTCATATTTCCTGACTGAAATTGAGCACTATTGAAAAGACAAGTTCGTTTCTTCTGCTACTGGAATCTTACGTCCCATTGAACAATTTTTTTTTTTTAAATTAGCCTAATAGTCTTATGTCTGCTGCTGCTCCATTACCAGATTGGCATGTATTTTATAATAGAACACAGCATACTTTCTAGTCTTCCTGCATTCTAAAAAAAATTGATGGAGTAGTTGCCTTTACAAGCTTCCAATTTGTTTGCTCCAGGCAATGTAACAAACTATGCAGGAATTATACATGTATAATGTAATCTTAGAGTACAGAGAGAGTTCTGTCTAGCAGTTGGGGGGAAAAGATATAATCATCCTATGGGCAAAAAGGGGCATGTACTGTACACTAACTTCAACCAAGGACAAGATAACACTATTTAGTACAATTAAGGGTGATTCCTGACTCACTATTTTGCGGGAAAGTTTCAAGCACATGCTGGAACTTTAGATTTCCACAGTTAAAGGGTATTAAAGCATTATGTCACCCTAGTGCAACAAACCCACTTTTTAAAAGAATCGGACTTCTTGCTTTTTGGAAAGTAAATCAGGATGAATGCTCAATGTACAGGTCAACTGGAGGGGTTCTAAGATCAGTTTTCTAAAGGAAAATACTGTACATGCATT